AAAAAATAAATGCCTCAAATCTGTCCAGTGAAGTGACGCAGTCAGCGTTAACAGCTGTAGTTAAGATCAGGCGAGTCTGAAAATGATTTTAACGCATGAAACATTCACACTAATTTTGCATGTTCGGCGTGTGAAGGACTTTAGTTTATATTATATAATCACTGATGTACGAAGGACGCAATCCAAAAGTCAGTAGAGAATCAAAAGCAGTGAACGACAGCTTTGATAAACCGTGTCAGCATAACTGGCGCTTCACAGCTCAGGTGTTTTCCCGTCTTTTGGAATTCTCAGGAATCTGGAACATCCCAACAGAATTCCATTGTATTTAACTCTCTGCACACCAAAGTCCAACTGAAAGTTGTCCCAAACGTTCAACTCTGTAATAAAGTGTCCACATTGAACAGTCTGACGATCAGCGGGCAGTTTGAAGCAGCCCCGAAAGAAAACCAAGCCCACCTCGTGAATTAGAAGACGACAAATCTCAACAGTGAGTCTGTGCTGCTATTTCCAGCCTGAGTTAGTTTAATGAATATAAAACTGTCTCCTTTTGAGTCTATATTTATACGTAATGTGATTGTGACCTCTGCAGCTGACAGGGTTTCCCAGCATTTATCCAGCACCACAGTAACACCTGAGAAACCTGAAACACTTCCTGCAGACAGCTTTCTGTGGTTTCAGTGGGAGCTTCCCACACATTACCAGCACTCACTCAGGTGTGATGCACCAGCACAGATACACATCATGCACTCCCAGCATATTTCTAACAGTGGCGTCCCTGCAACACCACAGGAACCAGTGTCTGTCGGCTTCTCTCCTCTCTCTGCTCACATCGGTTTGCTTTCAGCTCAGCCAAATCCCCAACTAAACTATCCTCGCGTTTGCGTTTGTCAGACCACTGTAGGAAATAGTACCACCAACATGGCCGGTTATAACCAATGCAAACCAGCCTGTACTTTTAAGCAGTCTTCCGGACTGCTTGTCTTCAATCACCCCACCAAGGTTCCTGTTCTTGACCCATACGTGACCATCAGACTCCTGACTACCACTCACATTTTTAATGTGCTGCATACCACACATCCCTCCAGCCCACACACATGTGTAAACACAAGAATGTGTATTTAATTTTTAGTTTTTAAACTCATGTTGCTCTAGTTATTTTTATCTTGTGAAAATGTTCAACAAACATGTTTCATCATAACGTTGACCTCGTGTGAACTTACACACGACAAAACTGATAGTGAAGCAGGTCGTTTCTTTGGACATCGCCCTGGGATCTGACTACTTTTAGACGCATGCTTTGTTTTTCTCTGTGTGTGTGTTTGTGTGTGTCTGTCTCTGGGTGTGTCACCTCTCTTGGACTTGTGCCAGACATCGTACTCCACATTTCTGAGCAATGTCGGGTTCAAAGATCGCCTCACCCTCTGAGGCAGCCCACGCCCACGGCCCTGTTACACACACACACACACACACACAATTCAGTGACAGTCCTACCCTGTGTGGTTGTTATAAAACATGTGTTTTATGAATGTTACCCTGTAGCTTTGGTTGTGTTTTGTGGAAGTAGAGCTGGCTCCATTTTCCACCCTGAGCCACAAAAACAGACATCATGAGATTATTAAAGCCTTAAAGTTTTACTGTGTTTGATAAAAGGAGCTGAGAACACTTACAAAGGAAATAAAGTTTCAATATGTGCAAATAAGTAGGTAATCAGTTTTTAGTATACAAAAGTAAATCAATAACGATGAGGAAATTAAGTAAACAAAAACAGCAGCCTGTGAATTCACTGCCAGTAAATAAAAATGAAGTTTGAGTGCTCGTTTACTAAAAA